ATTTAGTGTCTCTTATAGCTACTGACTGACAGCAAGCGTTGGGAAAATAAAAAACCACCGCTGGAAATCGAACCCACAGTCTAACGATCTGATATTCGTGAGCTTAACCACTCGGCCATCTCAATGATATTGCTTTAACAAAATCATTAACCTTATTAAACAGAATGTTGCTGTGTAAAGACTGAGTGATTAAAACGCTAGAAAAAATACACATTCACACAAACAATGGTCGTCAACATTAGCCTAAATGTCCTCCTGACAGCCTCTCTTTACTATTTTTATTTCAACGCGCATCAATATAGGCAAGTCCCCCTGACCACGTCTAAACACCTGTCTACGCAAGTCATGTCCGAACTGCGTCAGAGTAGGCCGTTTCCTTTACCAGCATAAAGTGTCAGCTGAATCAGGAACCCGAGAGTTCTGCTAAATAACATGTGATGTTGTGTGGTGGATCTGTTTTGTGGTGTATTGCTTTTCAGACACAATGACCTCTGAAGAGAACTTCTTTACAGCACATTCGTTCTCCGGTTGATGTGGTTGAGGAAGCACTTTTCCTGTCATATTATAATTCATTTTCAAACATTTTTACAGAAATTAAGTTGTATTTCGAGTCGTGTGAAATGTTGATGTGATTTCAGTTTACTTCTTCTTATTAATACTTGCATTTTTCTGAGTCAGTTTTGGTCCAGTGTTACACTGAGGCTTTCTTCCCGGGATAGCATCACAGTTGCGCTCATGAATACGGATATATCGTCAGCATGAAAGCAAAAAGGCAATGAAACATCTTCTGAAAGCAGTGAAACAAAAGCTGGAAGTTAGGTTAACTGAGAAAGAAAGGCGTTTTGAAGGTTTGCATTAATAAAAACTCAAACTTCAGATCGTCAAAGTGTAACTCGGATAAAGATGGAACATGGGTTGCAGTGAAAATTCACACTTTATTTATATATCCTATGATTACGTCATCCTTTATGCCATTTCACGTATGCAAGTGGTGCAAGTCGGTGTTGGAGCAAAGGTTTTGATCTCAAGGCCAAGACTTTGGCCCGCAAGTCTTAAGACCAAGGGGGCGCTCGACATTTTTCCAGTATCGTCGCTGTGTAGAGTCATGTACACTTTTTCCACTGCGGTGCTCAGTGCACGCGGGCTGGTACGCATGTAGCCTTGAACTTCAAATGACAGCTCACGTCAAAACCAGATGAGTTCAAACTCCACACTTGAAATGATAAGGAGTGTCTTTAGTGCACGTGAGGTTTAGCAGCCGATTTTTTTTGGGGGGGGGAGATTCCTCCCGGTTGAAAATGGGCCAAAATTATTCGACTCTTCTTGGGTTAAAAAGACATGAAGGGGCGATTTTTTTTAATCTCTCTTAGGTTTTAGGATATATTTGACATGTTGAAATATTTTTATGCACGATGCATGCATTTCTGACTTTATTTCATTTTTACTTCCCCTCATAGGTTCATGCATACAATGCATGACCTGTTTGTGATCCAATCCCATGACGCAATGAAAATACACGTATAGAAAAGGTTTAATGGCTGAAGCAATTATGATGGCATACCCTATTTCATGGCGATGATGGACGTGACAAAAGGTTAAGCGTTTTTCCAGCGTCTTCAAATAGCAGCTTCCTAGGATTTTGCACAAGTTCTCTCTCGATGGCCCCGGTTGCAATTTTCACCGAAAACCATCACTTTTGGAAAGCAGTGTACATACATACACATTCAAAATTTGTGGACGAAACTGCAGTACATAAGAATCCCACTATTTGTTTACCAAAACTTTGTTTGTTTTTAATCAATTAAAAATTACGGCGAATTTTATTTTCATGGTTTAGTAATCAAATTAATTTTTAACAATCTTTTCGTATATTTATAGAGCTCTGACGTGAGTCGTACAATTGGCATTGACACTAGCTATCTCGACACACTGGACTTCGACATGGAGAAACAAGACCAAGATTACTTAGTTCAGGTTAATCGTTTTCATGATTTCAAAAAAGGAAGGTACTCTTCCAGTTAAGAACTAACATGCCAGGCATCATCGTTTGCCGTTTTTATGCATTTCTTGGGGGATTATCGTTAAGAATTTAAGCAATTTCAAGTCTGGTCATTGCAAGTCTTGAACTTAAGCAAATCTTGTAGGGCCAGGCTTTGCAAATTTCCCAGCGTTTGCTTTTTAAGTGCCTGTTTGATAATGAATTTGGTCTTTATTTGAATTGGATGCGATGAATGTGATCATGTATACATTATTTCTGTTCGCTCCGCATTTGAAACTCGTTTCAAACAAAGAAAAGAAATCAACCAAAGTTTGTCCAGTCAATACAGGTGTTTCACAATAGTACGCCTTCAAGAGTTTGCAACGCGATGACCAATCACAGTGCACGAAATCTGTCGAGCCAGTGCGCGTTTGGAAAGGGTCGACAGATTTAGCACCTTGTGATTGGTCATCGCGTTGCAAACTCGTGAAGGCGCACTAGTGTGAATCGTCCGTATTTGCAAGACAAACATTTTCTCTCGTCACGGCTAATCGTGATTCAACCCGTAATTTTATCGAATGACCATCCAAAGACTGCCGTTGCTATGTCTCATTTATCGTAGTCACGACCTTTCCTTGGACGTCTTCATTGTATTTTGTTTCTTATTGTTTCTTCACAGCAAGGGAAACTCGGCTGCATGGCTTTCCTTCGCGAGCTCATTGCGGAGGGAAAGATAACCCGCAAGACATGAACCTGCAGGGTGGCAGATCGTGGTAGACGAGAAACTCCGCGTGTCCGAATGTATATAGATCAGGCGATACTCGAACACCGTTCATGCAGCTCGGGCGATCATAGACCTTTCCAGTAATAAATTCATAATAATTCACGCATGTGCACAAATGGCCTTGGCAGAAAGAAGCGTGAGTGGGCCATTAAAAACAGGTACAGGGGCGCGACTTTGATGATGATCATTTTCGTCTCAGGCTTTCTGGCTTTGTACAGGTGTTTCTTCAGACAATCCTATTAAATCGGTTTTGCTATTAGTTTCTAATGTAGTACGATTTCTAGTGCTCTGTAAAATTTTTATATTAGTATTTTATTAGATTAAATTTATTTAAATTTATTTTATTAAATTTACCAGTATTTGGCATTGATGGTAGCACTATGGAAATAATGAAGTCGCAATTATACTGCTTTAATTCAACATTTAACCTTTTATGAGACTAATTCATTTTGTTAGCATGTTTCAGATGTAATGCTGGTGAAGTTGGCAGTCGTGTTTTTTTCCATTCTTGTTGGATATAGTCTTGGTGAATTGCCAGTCATTTGGTTGTTGGTTCCTGATTTTTAAAAAGAATTATTTATGGTTACTGTTTTTTTTCTTAGATGTGAAGGTTAATTAACTTTGACATATTTCTAGTATTTATTTTATAGCATTTAAATATATTGATACTACTTTGGTAGTGAGTTCCATTTCTTTGAAATATTAAATAGGCCTACTGATAATTTCGATTAAATATATATTTACCCCTTCATTAGACCAATTTGTTTTCTTTTTTTTTCGTTTGAATACTTTTTATGCCACTAAGTGTGGCAGATTATACACCATTTGTGTTACGTGTGGGTTTCGGTGACCCTCCATGCACATCAAGCAGTTGTCGGCTGCTTACTTTTACTTAACTTGAAGAAATGATCACACTTGTAGCTTGCTTCTGAGAGCCCCTCATTTCTTAGAGGTGTGCCTTGGCAATGTAATGTGGTAATCTGAGAGTATTTCCTTTTAAGTGCCTCGATCCACCCTACCCTCGGGGACCAGTAGAAATGCGCACAATCGTATAGATTCAGCCTAAGGTTAGACTGTGGATGCACTAATGAGCCATTATTTCGTGGGTTTTCGTTTTCATTATGAACCCTAATTGGTGCATATTGGAATAAAAGTGTTCAAGAGTTTTAAACACTGTTAGCTGACGTCACACGGGTCGATGTCAGGGTTGAGTCAATCACTTTACGTCTTTTCTCAAAGATTTTTAGCATCTCCAAAATCGGTCCAAAAGATGCATGTATTTGCACGTTAAGCATGGTGGGATTCCTGTGCCTTCCTTGTCAAAAAAATCGGAGATATTCAAAATGAAGTTAATGAAATTTTAAGACAACTCATTTTGCCATTTTGAGACATTGTTTGCTGTCGCAACATTCTTTCACCGGATTATTCCTGAGCCCTCCTTTTCTGGAAATTGGAAATAAAAACGTTTTAACACAACTACTTTGTGTTTTGTTTGCTATCGTATTATTCTCTCATATTGATGCATCTCATTTCCTCTCTTTTATTGATATTTTAAAAGTTGAGAGAGAAATGCATAGTTCATTTGCATCTCATGAATATTATCTCCACAGGCTGGTCATCAGTATAGAGGTTGGGCATGGTAGCCATTTTGCTGGTAAGATGTTTTGTTCCACTTGGATACATGAGTAGACCTGTTTGTGCTACCCCGTCGTAACAAAAGAAGTTACTGGAAGATGGCTGTCGTGCGCAAGCGCTATGCGTGTATGGCTACAGGCATGACACGAAAATTAGAAATGACACGTGGGGCAAACGCTGATCCCTTGCAAAGGGTCTTTGACTTTGACAATGAATTTTGTGACACATGTATTCATTTCGGAAAGCAGCACAAAAATCATACATCACGGCTCACTATAGTTCCATAAAGAAAAGGAGGTTTTATTCAAGTAACAGATCAAATTATTTTGATTTGAACAAAAGATTCTCTGAAATTAGCACATTATTCCTAGGAACAATGAGCACTGTACATGTAGTAATAACAGTACAGTATCGGACAACTGTGTCACATGCACGTTTTTGGCAAGATTTTTTCCAGGGGGGAACCATGTTCCTTCTGGAGGGGAATTTCGGAAATGAAGGGGCAAACCACTCATCAGCTAAACTAACAACGAGAACGGTAAAGTTGAAGTTTCTTGTGTATTTTGGTCAAGCAAATGGGTGATTTTCACCCCCCCCCCTTCCACTTTTCACCCTTTTTAATTTTTCAATTTTTTCCACAGGGGCATCCCCCTAGCCCCTCCCACAGCCATGCTGTGTCATTTAAAGATGTCATTTTGTAATATCCCTGCCCCTCAGGCTTGTGGCATCTAAACAAACATTCCTCGGCTCGCTGGAGAGTGTAATACAGCTCATTCCTACCAACGCTAAACCACTACAGTGGCCACGTCAAACACTGGCCGAATGTATCACACCAGTCGCTTGACATATTCTGCACGACTGCCTCGGTATTCAACACTGTAGTCCAATGTTCGGTGTCTATGACACTGGATTTAACAAATCTTCAAGTTACATTCCTGACAGTATCATCATAATCTTTTCCATTCTCTTTTATAAGAAGAAACAAAACATAGAAAACGCATTCAGTGGAACATATTAGAGAGAAGTTATACCACCATATTACAGTATCTCAAGAATTGTAGTATTGATAACTGTTCACTGTTTTCAGGTAAGAAAACCTGCCTAGAATGCATTTCTTCACGTAGATGTATATGAAATCTTCTCCAAACCAACAGTGCTTCATGATTCGTTAAACTTTTTCTTTTACCATAAAGCTAACTGCTATATTAGCAATTCCTAGTTTAATAACTAAGTCCCCTACTACCAATTTATACTACAAACAGGCAGGATAAATTGACTACATGTAGGGAAACATTTCGTCAGGGCAGGTGGGAAGAACTGTGAACAGAAAAGTGATGAAGATTGTTGCAGGGGGAATAAAAGTGAGGCAGAGTGGTTTTAAAACTAGTACCCTTCAAACGGGACATAGGGACCTGGGGATGATAATGCAAGGTCCTTCCATCGACACAAGGCCCCTGGCTGGTATTAAAATCATTCGTGAATGCCTATTTTTCTTGAAATGGTCAAATCAGAGTCAAAGCCTGACATTTTCTCAACGAGTCGGTTCATCCATTTGGGCTCTCAACCGACAGGAACTGTCTGAAGTATGAATGAATGAGTGGTAAACTATAGTGCACTAGTTCTTCTATGGGTTACATAAACTTCTTCAAACACTAGTAGCAGTATACAGTGTTGTAGTCAAGACCTCTTAAAGTGAAACTGCAATGAATTTTTTATAAGACATAATTTTTATGCATCTCTATTCTCTTCTTTAATGTATTTGGTTACGTGCACTGAAAAGTGCAAATTTTTGTAAAAAATTAAAATAGTCCATGCTTTCCCAGACAACTGAGGGCGCTGTTGCTGTGAAATCATCTAGGGAAGGCATGGTTCAGTGCATAAGTGTTTCTGCTCAAATTGTGAAGTCAGAACTTACAAACTGAAAACACTTCCGAGAGAGAAATTGATGCTTTCTTATGTAACATGGAGACTTCTTCCTGAGATGACATCACAGTTTTGCTCATGAATATGAAAATAGTCAGCATAAATACCCAAAAGGCATTAAAATACCCTTTGAAATAATGAAACTAAAGTTGAAAATGAGGTTAACTGAGGCACAAAGGTGCATTTTGGAGGTTTGAAATAACAAAAATTGATTGCAGCTACCCTTTAAGACCTTCATAAGACCAAACAAGTCCAACACATACATGACCAAGACAAGACCTCCAGTCTAAATTCAAGTCACCAGCTAAACGAACTGCAGCATTCCTTTGTCACTGTTCAAGTTGTTACTTGTGACTGGTCTTGTGATGATTTCGACTACAACACTTGCTTAATTGCTAAAATTTTCCTAAAGTGGCCCTACAGCATACACAGTAATATTTCAGGGTTTTCCATACCAGCACCAATATAAGTCTAAAGTGATCCAAAAATACACAAAAAAATTCTCAAAATTCACCAGCAGTGTATTGGACCTCTTACTTATAATCAGGACATGATTTTTGACAGACTTTGAAATATCTTTGATTCCAAGGATTCTGCTGTTTTTTTGTTGTTGTTAAATCAGCAATTACGGAACCCTTTGTTCATTAGTCCAATGTATGCAAAAATATATCAGTGTCACTCAGTTGGACTTCACATCTCATTTGCTGCATTAAAAATAGAAGATGAGAAATATTTCAAGTTTGAAGGCAACGGATTGAAAGAAGGGCTGCTTGGAGCAGCAACCACAGGGCAGCGCAACTCTTCTACCAGGAGAACTTGAAAGATGTTGCTTGCAGATATTTCTCTCCCGGCCTCAAAATGGCATTTGGGAAGTTGTCCTGTAGGGTAAGAATTCAAAAGATGCATAAAAAGTGATGCAATGTAAATGAAATGCTACAATACAAATGAAATATAGATAAATCCAGTGAGAAGAAGTAGAAGCCATTACTGCGAGGCCGTCCTATTCACACGCAGGTGGTGCGCATGCATTACACTCCTTTCCAACTAATAGGGTGTTGTGACTTGCCAAAGAGCGCTGCACACGAAGACGTGAGTGCGATGACCCCGCAGGAATGGCTTCTCCTCGGTAATATATTTGAATGCAACACTTTAGATATACTCAAGAGGGTGAGAAGGTAAGAAGTATTTAAGAGAATGGACATCAAAATACTGTGTGCTACAGTTGATCGAAACCCTATCGAGTTGTCGGCCAAATATGTCTGTCACCATCTATGGAGCATAGGGGTGGGTGGGGCGCAGAGAGAGGGTGAACATTCGCAAGGGATAGAAGACTGAGGCAACAGGCGAACAACATCAATGGCAAACACTTGTCGACCCAATTTGACATGTGTAACAGGTACAGATAGGGGATAGGGGTTGGTGGAGCATAGACAGAGGGTAAATACGTGCATTGAAAACGGAAGACTGAACGCATAGGTAACAGGCATGAAATCAGTGACATTCATTTGTCCACCCAACCTCTGCCCATGGGGAGAGGAAGAAATAAGGCTTGGCAAGGCACAGAGAGAAGGTAGGTATCTACAGAAGACGGGGAACTGACCAGGAAGGCAACAGGTGTACAACATTAATAGAGTCGCGAAGTGTGACGTCACTGTGAACCAGAAAGTGCAGTGCAAACGAATGAGTACGTGCGTGTTGGTTCATGCGCTGGTTCTCGCGCTAATGCCTTTTACATGCTAATTGTGCTCGTGACGTATTCACTTCGGTACTCTATGGCATTGGGTTGTTGACCCAGTCTCCAGGGTGAACAGAACAGATTAGGAAGGGGGGGCCTAGAGACTGAATATTTGCACAAGATAGGAAACGTGTGGCATGTAAACAACAGGCATGTAATGCCAATGCCATTTGCTTGTCAACTGAACAACTCTGTCACTGGTCAGAGGTATTGAAAGGGAAGGAGTGGGCCAGTGGTGGATCAGTAGCGGGGTACCAGGTAGGGCCATGGTACCTCAAACAAGAGGCAGAATTAATCAAAATAATGAGAGGAAGGAGATTTGCGTTTCTGTTTGGTTTCCTTTCAAAAGCATGTAAAGAGCCACAAAGTTACAGCCATGCCAGTACCCCTCATGAAGGCCATCAAAGCTAACATCAAATACTTCCAAAACTCCCCCTCCCCCCCCAAAAAAAATGGGGTTCTTGATCTCCCTTTTGAATGGGCGAGGCACGGACAAAGGGTGGATACTTGCATGCGACAGGAGACTGATCATGTAAGCAACATTTAAACCCAACTTTTCTGTCAGGATGGGGTGAGCGAGCCATAGAAAGAGGCTGAAAATTCACGTGGAATTGGCAGTTGATTCCACAGGCAACAGGTAAATCATATCAACAGCATTTGATTGCTGACCCAACCTCTCTGTTTCACCAGCAAGAGGAACAGATACATTGGGGTGAAAAGGGCACAGAGAGAGGACAAATATTTGCAAATGTTAGAAGACTGACCCCGCAGTCCATGCTGAACATCAAGGATGCCTAGCTACTCACCTGATTGATGGCGTCCGGGAAGTTGCCTGTCTCCAGGCACAGGCCGCCGTGCTTTGGATAGAAGATGTCCTTCTTGCCAACCTCCGAGCCGTCCAGGAAGTTCCCCGTGTAGAAATGCACACCGGGCTGGGTGGTGGACACCTCCAGGGAGCGGCCAGTGGCGGGATCCACCAACCTGCAATCAAAAAGGGGCATTCACAGGAAGGTCAAGGGTCGAAACTACACAGGATCAAGGTTGTGATCAAGACCATTGCAAAACCAGCCACAAGATAGACCAGTCTAAGACCATTCACTGGGCTAGTCCTGAACAAGTGCCAGGGTGAACAAAGAGAAAGGAATGCTTGTTGTAGCTGTTCATTGGAACGACCTGTGACTTGAGTTCAGACCGGAGGTCTTGCATTGGTCTTGTAATGCTCTTATGAGTCCTCGTCTGATGAGGTCTTGTCTACAACAATGCACAAGGTCATACTTGTTTATACAGTCTAACTCTGACCTTTGTCAATCCAACAAGATTTGGCGTAATTTCTGCTGCAACAGGGTAATGGGGGAGAAGGACTGATCACTGTGACCTCAATTTTGACCATTTTCTGAAATCTCAGTTTCGCCTTCAGCCTTTAAAACTCACCGGCCATCCACAATGTGAACCCTCATGTCTTACATGACCAAATGGAGCTTTGAAATGATCTACAGAATGCACAACTACTATGACCAACTTAGCAGGGATCATGGAAACATATGCCAGACAGTGAAAACTGCCAAAGGGATTGTGTGGGGGGGGGGATGTGCCAGAAAGATATTTAGACCCTGAGATATCTTTCCTGTGACTTACTTGATTGAAGGCTTGTCAAGGGATGGGACATTGAGGCAGAAGCTGTGGTCGATGCCTCCCCCAGGGGCATCCCTGATGCGATCGGCCAGTTCCACTTGCTCTCTCAGATCAAAGACAGTGTCCTTCACAGGTGCCATTTCACCTGCCAAACAATAATCCCAAATCCTCCTTTAAACTACATGTACTGGAGTAGGGGTGATTATGGCGGTCACAACCAAATGTCGGTGGTCAAGTAGTCAGATATCTGCACTCCATAGCAGGAATCTGCGGGTTGGTGACTTCGTTAGTCCCATCCAATAAGACTTTTGTGAGTTAACTTTGACCAAAATCTGGCACACTGAGTTCTTAAAATTCATGTGAACATAAGAACTTGAATTCTCCATACTAAAACCACTGTTGCTATACCTCATGATTCGGAGCAAGCTTTTGCTTAGCTATGTAAGAGACGCCTTGCCACAATACACTGTTCACGATAGATACAAAGAGCACAAAGGAACCAGTCCATTCCAGAGATGGTGGTCGCTATGCAAAAGCTTGTTCCAAATCACGACGTATGGCAACAGTGTCTTCAGTTTGGAGAATTCAAATCGTTATGTTTATGTGCAATCAGATAACTCAGTGTACCTGATTTTATTCAAATCTAACATGCAAATGGCTTATTAGGCTTGTTAATTTTTTTTACCAGCCCTTTGAGAAAACCGAAGATGTCCAGGGAAGGCAAAACTCCAAATACAATGTCATTTGGTTGTTGTTGGGTTTTTTGGTTGGTTAATTGCTTTGAGAATTTGAGTACTTCAGGTATATCACCAAGCATTATTCTTGAAAAAACTTATAAGTGCCCAAAAACCTACCATTAAGAAACAACCAAAACAGTTGCTGGTTTCTACCACCAAAATAAACCCTAGGTTTGTTGGTATCATTTCACGATGAAACAATTTAATTTTTTTGCCTTTGCCCAGCAAGAATTCCCTTCATGGTGCTTTGCTCCTTGTAAGGGCTGAAATATGCCTGATTAACTACGGAGAGAAATGAGAAGGATTCTGGAGAGTTACCTATTGGAATGAGCTCATCACTGACAGGAATGTAACGGTCAGCATCAATGCTAATTTGGTGCTGTTTAATTGTGTCACCATTCTAGTTTCAAGAGCAAAAGAAAAGGAGATATTAAAATTTAAAAGGCCCCCTCCCCGATGTTTTAAATTAAACATAAATCTTTAAACCCAACCCCCTAAGGGTTGCTGGCCCTAACCTTCCCCATTCACACAAAGTTAAACATCCATATGGGACTTTGTGCACAGCGGCTATTGGACTTTGTTTTTCTGAGGTATGCCAAACCCAATGCAAAAGCCAGCTGTTATGGGCCTACCAGACCTATCCCCACAGAATTAAACACTTTACTTCTGTTAATTCTGTGTGGTTGGGGAAGGTTACGGGTTAATACAACTCTTCACAGTCCCTTCCAAAATGGCCTCAGATACCACCAAGGGGCGAATTCAATCAAGGAAGACTAGTTAAGTAGTGGTTGGTTCCTGATGTACCGTAACCTAGCGCATGTGCTGTGAAGTTGAAGTGCGAACAACCCTAGTCAACTCTTGTCAGATCATTAGGCAGAAGGAGACAAAAAGAGGACGCTGGAAGGGCAAAACAGCAACAATAAAAGTGATCATGGTCGTTTATTGGCGATAAACTGATTTTCCAGCACTTTTCTGATAACTAGACCTCTCTGCACTGTGCTTTTAAATACAATTTATGACAACCAATGATGAGCCCAACCTCGATAGGCTGGTCCCCAATAGCTGACTAGACTAGTCCAACCATTGATGACTAGCGTGCGTTCCATCAGAGTTAGTCCAACTATGGTTAACTATGGTCCTTATTGAACTTGCCAAGGGTGTCAGTTTTCAAATATTTTCAACAGCTTTTAACCTTTGCTGGGATGGATGATCGTACATGATCGTTTGACTGACGTACGTTCAATTTCTACAGACAAAAAGTTACTGTTCCAAATAATCTGGCATCTGCTGCTGAGTTTGGATGAGCTTTACTTTACACAGCACTGTGCAAGGGGCCACTCCAAGATGGAGTATGGAAATATTCTGACAAATCTGACTAGTACTCAGGCAGTGCACGGCCTTGAGATGAAACATGCTTGGGGGAAGAAACAAGATAGACCAAGAAAACTGACTTACATGCCCGGCCAGGTTGAAGTAGGAATGGTTAGTCAGATTGATGGGAGTCGGCGCCGTGGTGACGGCCGAGTACACCACATTGAGGATGTTCTCATCGGTCAGCTCGTACCTGACCTCCACTGTCATCTCACCGGGGTAGCACTGCTCACCGTCTGGGCTTACACGAGTCAGTTTGAGGGTGGATCCCTCCACTGTGGCATTCCATAGCATCTATTTGTATAGAAGAAAGCCAAGACCCTGTCCATTCAGAAGTGCAAGGCCAATATGGTTTTCACTGCATTATTTGATTGGAGTACTGTGGCACACCGCTACAACGAACACTTCGGGGTCCACGTTAAATGTTCAGTACAGCGGCCATTCAGAATAGCGAAATTTAACTGCCGACCGTTTTGTTGCCATATTAAATAGTGCCCTCTCTTGTCTAACCTAGGTGCACCCTCTTGAAATACTATGATTGATTGATTGATCTCTGATGCATGCTGTGGCGAATCTCGGTTGATTTGCAGCTACATAATGTTCGGTAGGTTTTGTGCACAAAATATTGGGAGCCAAGGACGATGTTCGAATGTTCGGTATCGCGGTATTCGGTATAGCAACATTCCACTGTATGTACTTTTTCGATTTCAGTGTACTCTCACACAAAGCACCCATCCTTGAGAAGGGTACAGTTAGGACAAGAAATAAATTTACAAAATGAAGAATTATTCATCCTACTTTGGGACTCAAAATGATTCAGTCTCAGTCTTCCTAATTGATGAGGCTACATGTGCAATGATGGGCAGAGAAGTTATAAAGGAAATGCACAAGAAAGTAAAAAGTGACATCTTTTTTCAGGTATTTCAAACCCTAATTCTGAAGGTATTTTCACCAAGAATCACCTGGAATCCTCCACAATCCACTATTGTGAAGGAAACCAATTAAACACTCTTTCCGCTTTCAAGAGGCTTTGACCTTAAAGGGACGTAATAGTGGCTTTGGTTTACCTTCCTCTATCCTATCAAATCTCCCCTATACTCCTGCAGGGTTACTCCAAGGACCAATGTATTCCGCAAATGTGCAAGTTACAGTGTATATAAAACGTCTGTACCATGATGCCTCATAGCATTCCCTGACTGAGTGGGAAGTTGGTTCTCTAGATGAAAAGGTCTCTCTCAAATGACGTCACTTCCTACAGATTGCCATTTGCATCTGGAATTCTTTACTTCAAATTTTTATGGCACCCATCAGCTAGTTTGGAAGACATTTGAATCAGCATGTGCATAGGTACTGAACAGTTGCACATTACATGTACCGTACATGCACCTTTGGGCGTTCTATACACAGTTGTAAGTTTTCTACAAAGATGAGGGAGATCTATACAGGGCCTAGCTCTTTCTGTCATCTCAACTTTGCACTCACCAGTCCAAATCCTTTGAAGCCACCGTGCAGATGGTTGGGCCCGTTGTTTGTCTCCAACTGATATTCCTTTCCGTCAATTACGAATCGTCCCTTCGCGATTCTGTTGGCAACCCGTCCAACGACTATCCCGTGGTAAAATGCACCCGTTTCATAGCCTGTGGAGACCCACAAAGTGAGCATTTATAAGGAAACACTTCAGAAGTGTGGTGCACTATGTATAAATACCTCCATAATGAATGATTAATGGTATATTACAACAGACCAACACAGCCGCAGGCTGAATTGTAGCCACAAAATCTTAAGTAGAACATTAACAAATATCAAGCTACACCAGGGAAAAAGGAGGATACATACGAATACAGGACAAACAACAGCAAAAAAAAACGCATGATAAAAATTATTCCAATCTGCCCCGAGTTAAAGTGCACCCTCGGCAGCAAAAGGTAGACAGACTAGTACAAAGTTTTAGCATCGGGTTCTTGCACGCTTTCGGTGTGCTCGCAAAGACATACATTCCGTCATCAATTTGATGTGCGTATTCAGCGTGCCCCGTGCCAAACGGTCATAAACTTTCACGCCTATGCGGTAAATTTGTAAGAAAGGACTGTCAATTTTATTTAAACATGCGCTCTCTTTTGTTCCCTCTTGGAGAGGATACTGACAGAAGTTGATAAACACAAAAGAAACTTTACAAAACTAGAAACTAAAGGTAGTTACGTGTAAATAGAGGATTAAAAGGGGGATGGGATTGGATTTATGTCCAGTTAATTAAAGAGTGATGCATTTCTCTAACTTGAAATCTTGTCATGTCAGATTGGATTTCCAGTCAACAGTGTTGGAATGTCAAAATGTTTTTCCCTTGTCAAGAGGAGAACATCATATTTAATTTAGATTTGGGGGATGGAGTGAAGTTATTAGAGATTAGGACATTTTGTTAGGGAAAAAAAGAAAATCCTTCGTAGTTTCAAAATGGAATGGTCAGTTGCTGCTGTATTCACCCTTGTGTGATGGTATACGCATTTGAACTTCACAGGTACCATAGCTGTAAGTAAGGATGGATGGGGTGGCCAATGGGGATAGGGGACCATCCCCCCCACCACAAAAAAGAGCCTGTGAGGGTATGGGTCGAACTGTGCTGACCTTGAGCTGCCATTGAAAAACTTAACTTAATCATGGCCTAAAAGGACCTGCAGGGACAAATTTCATGAAACGCTAAGACGTGTCTTACGAGGAGTAACTTATCTTATCTTACAACTCGTCTTAGGATCAATGTCACTAAACTTGAGGACGCGTTCACAAGTCCTAACTTCTTCAGGAACTTTTCCTAATGTAAGATTAGTCTGAGGGTCATCATCTCATTGATGTATGCAGTACATGTAATTGTGGAAGTGAAAGAGGAGTATTGTGCTAGAGCTATAAATGTAACAGTTTTGTGGGATGAAAACTAGCTGCAGAAACAGACTTGAAAAGTGTTATCACTTACAATCAGGTAGTTTAATTAAAGCAAAATCCAAAAAAAATATATCAGTACAGGAAAACCTATTCGTCATTTTAAAATGGAATTATCAAAATGATTGGAAGCATACATGAGTCAACTGTTCTGCCACACGTTCGTATTCTGGCTTTTTCTTTATTTTTAACGACTGTTTCCGTGAAAGAGTACAACAAAAAGTGAAACAACCAACCAATTTCCAGTTACATGTATGACCAGTCTTTCTTAAAGATGGGTTTGGTGAAATCGATCTTGGAACCCTTCTTAGCAAAGATCAATCTTAGACTTGGGACTCATCTTAAGCCCTAAGATGAGTTGCACGACAAGATGACTTTTGTGAAATCGGCCCCTGGGTGCCTTACTCATTGTGAGGTGCATTGATACATGTATCTGTGATAAGGCACTCCACAGGCATTAATCAAATGCAGCAGAGACAGAACTTGTCTGCTTGGATGAGAAACACTAAACGCCCTCTTGATGAGAGGATCAAAGGCCATGCATGAGAAAGCAAAGAAAATAAAAGGCCAAAGTGACTAACTAGGGACCTTCCTGAATCTTCCAAAATCCTCAGCTCTGCAGGAATCCAATAGCACACTGTCTATACTCGAAAGGAGCATCAAAGCTGTATCTTGTATGTGGTTGCAAGACTGTTCCTTGACTGTCTTAGGGAAGAGTTCCATATCCGGACATTCCTTGACACCTTGTGCACAAACTCTATGAGACACTGTATGAGATGGGCCTGAAAAATTCTGAGCGTTTTCAAAGTAAAGTATGCTTCCACGTTTTCCCCGCTAAATTTGACCTTACGGGACACGTTATCGCTTTGTGATGGCTAATAAACAACTACAGTGGAAAATAATTGATGTAAGAACATGGAACTCTTCCAAATTCCTGCAAAATCTTCCAAAAAACCTGTTACAGGCTTTGAAGGATCCTAGAAGGCTGTGACGGTCAACTGAAAGCAAAAACAAAAATAAGCCCTGTGACACAGGAGAAGAAAATATTGCCTTGCCTTCCAGTTTGTCGTATCCCAAGACCACATCAGCGATGTTGCCGGCCCGGTCAGGCACCTCAATGGAGGTGACAGCAGCACCAAAATTGATGATCTTGACTACCATTCCATTCTTGTTGCTGAGCGAGTACCTGACAACCAGGCGGCCATCCTTGGTGTGTCCGAAATCTTCCTGCGTTATCGGCATCTTCTGTTGCAAATTTTGTGCAGCATAGATTAAAATTAGCTGGATTACGGGTGTAAACAGTATAGGTCAGACGTACGATGTATGTACAAGTTTGCACAGAAGCTGAAGTTATAAACTTCCGGGAGAATCACACAATGAGTGTATAGTACCGGGACTAGCCTACTGATAAACCCAATACAGCTGTTTATCGAGAGTAGAGCGTACCCTTGTAAAGCCCTCCCCTCCCATGGGAGTCCCATTTTGTTTCAAAAGCCATTCCATTTTTTCTGCTTTTTATCGCAAGGACTTCAAGTCAGATTTGACCCAATTGCTACATTTGTTTTGAAAATAGAAAAAATTACTAAATTTGAAAACATGCCCTGCTTATGTATTTTCAGGTTCACCTTCTGTTGTCCACCTTCCCCCTTGTGTATCGCTGACCACGCCCTTCCGTCTTCGTTAATCCTGGATGTACTGTTGCAATACCACTAACGTCCGTGACCGTAAAGTCGCCAGGTCCCTTATTTTGTCACTTACTGTGAAAACGAACCAGACTTGACAAGAGGTGGTGAAATTAGAGACCTGGGGACTAGACGGTCATGGACGTTACATTGTACATGTGTCCACATGAAGTTCATTATGCTGGTGTTACATTGACAGCACAAGCACTACATGTAAGCTTGCTTCTGCACTGTTCTTCGAAGAGGAAGACGTACGGCAATACCGCACGGGTGATTAATTCTGCACAGTGTTAGAATTAAAGGCATTGTGGGAAGGGAAAAGGGGCAAACACTGGCCCTTTTATACCTTTCTAACATTGTGCAAATCACTCATGTGGTATAAAGTGGCAATAAGACTTATGGGAGGCAATTACCTCTAAAAACCAGACAGCACCTCTGTGTACTCACGTACATGTACCGAGGTGCCCTCTGATTTCAAAAAGTAGGAGCAGCAGTAAAGAGTAATGTGAGACATGATATAAAAATCGGATCATGTGGGTGGACTGGTGAGAGCTAGGACCTCCGTAGGTCATGTAGGTTGAAACCCAGTTATATGGCTACTGGCAATGTGACATACCCATGCCATAAAATGATAAATAGGCCTAAATGTTTTTAAACCATTAATTGAGAACCAGGCCTGCCTTTTGTACTTGTACACTAGGCCAATTCTGGACCTGTTAACAGGGCCCTACGTACATGTATAGTCCTTCACCAGTGTATCGATGAAGGAGTAGGCCTTTACGCAGCGCCCTGTTTAACGTTTAGGGTCCAAAGGCTCACTATTTGGTGTACATCGTAGTAAGTGGGCCGTGTGTTTCAGTTCACGTAACGTTACTTTGTGCCCAGCGTGTGACGAGCTGCTCAACAAAACGATAACACTGCATACCTGTAAGTCTACAGGCACCAACTCGTATTTTATGCAGGCAAAGAATGGGGTGACATCAGAGCAATCAGACAACCCTATGTCCGTGAAATACACAACACGTTGCTTCAAAATGTACCCGACAAAACATGCCTTCCTTACTGACTCAATGTATGCAGTATGCAGCTGGCCGGCAAGGCTGCCGATGCCAGTGACATTGCTCGGCGCCCTCTATAATACAGTTTATATTCGGGATCACAATCTCAGCTTAGTTCCTGTTGCGTGTTTTGGGGGCGAGAATGTGACCTTTTCCCATCTATTTGTTACAAGGGGTGACTGAGAAGAATAATCCCCCCCCCCGAAAAAATGGAGCTGAAACCCAAATGGTGCTGGCATTTTTCCCAGAATTGCTTCTCCCAAAATCAATGATTACGAACAACTTGAAATTGCAGAGAGAGACCCAGAACAAACCCTAATTGCTCCTGGAAGAATTTTGCGCATGGAGTGGATTTATTTAAATCTACATGTATTATGCGGCTGGCCAAACGAAAAAGTGGAATACAACTTTCTGTCAACTGACGGTCCCCATTGCAAATCGAAATTCCTTGTGATTTTTGTTTGCCTGTTTGTTTACAGGCGGCCAAATCGCAAGTTGCTCCCTCCCTGCAATTGTGAAGTCATGAAGATAATAAAATCAACTGCTAAGCGGGAAATTTATTCTTAAATTCTATAGGTCGTATTTCAAAATTTGGATTTTGATAATAATCACCCTTAATGGCATGTGGGTACCAGTTACTTTTAGAATGGTGTGTATTCACAGATAAAATAACCGCTTACAATTCGTCGAATCACTCTATTTCGCGATAACTTGGCTCTTGTACAATCGAGAAATATATAGACATAGGCCTATACACGTCAGTAGATTAGAGATAATTATCAACTTACCAACGTCAATTGTACCCGCAAAAGTGGCCGCTTTCGGAAAGTTTCTCTTTCGGGATACACTGCTGGAGGCCCACATCCTGCTTTGCAATGAGATGGCTGCGAGCTATAGTACCATCCGGCTCCTTATAAATGTTTTCACGCAGCTTACGAAAACCAAAGCAAAATGCTCATCCCCATTTAATTTCCGAAGTCATGGTGTCAGGTTCAGTGAAATCTTTAGTGTTTTTCAGGCTCTTAATAATACTTAATAGGTAGCTTTGATTCCAGGTCTTGAGTCGGGGGAGGGCCAAAATGGAATGTGTTTCCTGTGAAACGACTTTCAATCTATTTCATCCGTAAAAGAATCCTCAACCCCTACAAAAGAAAAGACAAGAGAATGAAAATACCGTTTCCATGACTGCTGACGATTCCAGTCAATTCCTGGGAAAAGTGGCACCATGTCTGGCAATGGGGTGACGGGATATTTCCCCCATCTCGTTGGTATATATACACCACTGCAGATAGTAATTCGCAGGGATACAATACACATGCATATTATTATCACATTAATTTTCTGGAAGTCACCCTTGGCAAGCCAATTCGGTACAAAAAAATGCTTTTTACTGTTCGTGAAATTTGGAAATGTCAGTATTTTTCGGGGGGGGGGGAATTAGAAGCAACTGGTCGTGATCGAAAAAATCGGGAGGAGAGCTACACTTTCTTGACTCTCACATTCAATGTTGCCTGAATCCAGCTCTCTGTACATTGTCTCCTGGAACAAAAGTGTATTGCTAAACAAATGGACCTGCGCGATATTCGGTAACAAAGTTTCTTTTTCCACAAATTTTTTTTTACGCTACACCTTAACTAATAACAATGACGGGATTGCATCACTCCATTCTAACCAATACAGCCCCAAATCGCAATGCGTGACCGCTGTTTCTGCCCGCTGATTGGCCAAGCCTCCCACTTTTGTAGCATAGGCCTACCTAGTGGTGCAGCGTCTTCTGACGATGACGTTGAACTTACCCTGAACACTTGATCGCAGACCACGTTAGCAGTTCATACGGATAACCAACTTGGGTTATCTACGTCAACATCAGCTCTGCCTCATCAGGTGAGTGAATGAATTATTTCAAGGGTATCTGTCTTCCAGAATAAACCAATGGGTCTCTCTATTATCACAGATCTTGGGGTGGAGGACCGTGCTGCAATTTCTGAAGGGGCAAACCTTCAGACCTAATGCACCGAACTTATTGTCATATTTATGGGTCGTTACTAAAAACTGAAAAGCGGGAAAGTAACAGATGGGCAGTACCACGCCTATATTTCGTGTAAAGGCTAAACGTTTACCAAAGATCCGTCTCTTTAAGCGTCTTTTCAAGGACAACAAGAGGGCTTTAGGGGATATTTCTCCGCACACTATTAACCTCGGTGCCTTATGAATTTGTAAATCTGCTGTCATTCTCAGCTTCCTCAAATAAGCAGGTTCGAAATACATAAATGACCTTTAGTGAACTGTGGACCTCTTTATCAGAGTGCTATTGAGAACTAAGGTGCTTTCATCTTACAAACGTGAGACAGGATGTTGCCGCCGCGGCCGGCCAAGGGTCGGGCCGATCCATTCTCAACTACTGCAGTGCTGCGCCATTTGGAATCCTCATTACTCAAAGTGGCTCGACATAATAGTAAACGATGTCATGACGCCTGTGGAAAGTGCTCCCATAACAACGCTGATCAGTGTGCCAAGTGTATAGAGTTTGCTTAGATTTATTTGGTATGTCAGATCCCCTACTAATTCCCCGGAGGATGTAGAGACGGATTCGCAATTACCTCCTAGTACAGTAGGCCTCAGCCCGGCCCTTGAGGCTTGAAAAGGCATTTGGCTAAATCCCATTTCGTTGTTTGTCGAACCAGCTCGTACAGTATACTATAACTTTGGCAGGTTTTCGAGTCCCATAAATTAGGCCAATTTTGGATTTGTGAAACTCTTCCTTTTTGCACCTGGGCCCAATACATAAAAAATATTCATGTGAAGAAGATCCAATTTATTTCTTTGATTTGGAGCCTTTTCATGTGCTGCAAAATTTTGACGTTAAAGAGATTAAATTTTATGGACACAACACAATATTTCCACGCTTTTATCAGTGATCGGGATGTTTATGATTCGTTTTGGGAAATATCAAATTCCAGTTACTACCGTTCAATAATGTGCAAGATAAGAACTCTATCCAAGTTATTCAGCTATGGCTACCTGAGTTAACATCTGTCCTGACATGATTATTCAGTGTCTAATAGGCTGCATCTTGGTGCCATGAAATGAAATGATCGTTTTAGTCCAGTAAAACAATTGCCATAAAGGATCGATGGACTCGGAGCCCATGTACAGTATCAAAAGACTCCATGTAATAATGTGAGTTCTTATTCAAATCACTTTCCAGGATTCTTGGTGTTTTCCCTAACATTTATTTTCCTCACAGGCGATTTGATTTTGCATGGTAACAAAATACCTGTCGCGTAGGAAACGAAATAACCGGTGTACTGTGACATTTGGAGCCTACGAAATACGGACTCTTTTACAAAACTGCACATGACATCGGCACCTATGTGACAGTTTACTGTGTAAGGGGGAGACCAGATTTCAAGGTGGTGCAAATTTCATACCCCACCGGCATAATAATGGTAGGGGATGCGTATTGATGAACGGGGGCTCTGGATGGAACGAGGCCTATAAGAAAGCAAATACGGCCCGACCCTGGATGCCCGTCGGTGACTGTAGTAATCACTCATTACTGTTTGTCAGGATCCGGAGTGTCAAGAACCTATAAATCATGACACGATATTAAACCCCGGAGTCAAGTGCCAGCACCCTCCACCACTACACTGTAATAGAAGAAAACATTGACCATAAGCCTAATGGTTGGTTTCGTCGCTCTGGTCTGCAGTGACGTGACTGCGGGGTAGGGGGGGGCAAACATGTTACGTATCTCTTTAAGCCAAGCTCCTGGGTACCAGCCCCCGCCCTTGAAAGTTGAAATTTTAAAATGTGTACGACCTTTGTACAAGCTGCAGTTCCCCCAGCTTCATGTATGGGCTTCAGTTCCACCCCCTTTCAGCAACTAAACGAGGTAAATTTGAGGTAATTGCTATACGCACCTCATTTAAAACGCCTTCGAGGGCCAGAAAATCGCATCCACGATCACAGTGCATTTTTTGAGGGAGCACTCTCGACACCTGCTCGGAAATCAAAGTGCCACAGTGGACTTGGATGCTGTGGATAAAGCAATGTTAATCATCATGACACATTTCACCATTGTCGTTCTAGTTGTCGAAATTTTTTTATGGGATTGCCTTTTCATTGTGCTTGGAAGGACCTCGCGTTGGTTCATAGTCCACGTTGACAGCTGATAGTAACACAGTCTAATAATATTGTGCCATTGCGCGACCTCGGGGTAAACAGGGACTTGTCAAAATGTTGACACCAGTTGAATGAAACTGATGGTGGAAGTAAACTCCGCATGCATGGGCTTCGCCGTCTCTTTGTGCCCCGTGGAGTTTGCCCCAGGCGCATTCACGTTTCATCGGTTTTTGTGGCGGCGGCAGTTATGGAAAGATATCTTTAAGCTGACCATCACATTGGGATTTTACTTGTCAACTAACGGGCGATTGGACGTTAACATGAATCATACTCACTCCTACTTAACGGGCAGAGGATGAACGTGGGCGATTTTTATTCCGCCGGGAACTTTCGACTTTTAACATCATCGCTGAGTTGTTGTGAAAGGCTAAGCTAGTTGTCCAGAGCAATAGATAGACAAAGGGCGCTTATTTGAGATGCTTGCCTCATTGCTTGTCAGCTGATAATTTTACTTTAGAACTTAATTTCATTTGATAAAAAATTGTTGCAGGTGGATTTTTACTGGAGGGTTGATGTCTGAAACATCCATGATGCATGAGTTAGGCAACAGTGATCAAGGGGCAGTGCTGGCGGTGGATACCGGTAACGAGCGTGAGGGGTGCGGGTGCGGGCCGTGCCGTCCTCGATGTTTGGTTCCCTTGGCCCGCCCATCAGTCTTCTCCGCTCTCATGGCCCTCGTCCTCGTTGTCGAGCTGGCTGCCATGAACGGCTACATCGGTGCCATCACTTCCACCCTGGAGAAGGAATTCCTGCTGTCCAGCTCCGAAGTAGGGGCCATCTCCATCATCAACGACCTGGTCAGTCTCTTGGTGGTTGGGATCTTCACCTACTTTGGCCACTCGGCCCACCGCCCACGCGTCATCGGTACGGGCGCCGTCCTGGTCGGCGTCGGCACGGCCACTTGCGCTCTGCCACATTTCATCGCCGGGCCGTTCTCGGCCTCTCTCGCTCTGAACGCCTCGGAGCATCAGCTGTGCTGGGAGTCTCCTAACACCACGCAACCCACGCACACACCTATTAATCGGTCCAAATACAGCAGTTTGTATCTCTTCATCATTGGACAGATTATAGTGGGTGTTGGTAACGCTCCCATCATTCCCCTGGCCATGACGTATGTGGATGATGCAGTCGAGAAGTACAAGACAACTGCGTACGTTGGTATGTTGTCGTTTTTTCCCATTTGGTCTGGTTTTTCCCTATCAAGATAAGGATTATCAATACCATTGCTGAAGTATGTGCGTGCGGATAAATTGAAATTTCAAGTAAAGTGTTTGTTTGAATATATACCCAAAGTATAAGCCTACTTGAAAGATAAGTCATGCAACATTGAAGTGCTTGTACGGTCTGTTTTCCCAACGAAGTTATCATTACAATCAGACCGTACCAACGATCAAACTTCTACTTTGATTCACTCTTATTTTCCAGCCGTCATATACATCGGTACCTCAGTCGGACCTATGATGGGTTTTCTCGTCAGCAGCTGGGCGCTGTCCTTCTACGTGGGTCTGGGCAGCATTCCCTGGGAGCAGTGGCCGGCTGTGCCGCCGAACGATCCCCGCTGGATCGGTGCCTGGTGGCTGGGGCTCCTGGTCCTTGGTGTGGCTATGGTCGTTCTCGCCCTGCCCTTGTTCTTCTTTCCACGGACGCTTAACGCTCCGAGGAAAACTACGAGAAAGTTGGAAGTTGAGGGACTGAGCTGCAACGGTGTGGAGCTCCGGGGAGTCAGTGAGGCTGGATGGTCAAAGAAAGGACTTCCGGTTGACAACCTTCAACTGGAGAAGAAGGTTTCTGAGACAGAGATGAGCCTAGATCACCATAAAATCAAGGAACTGACATCGAAGGGAAGTGTGAAGACAATAATGGGCCAAACAAAAGGTACTGTGCTTGCATTACTAGGGTCGATGAAAGTATTTCTTATCTTTCACTAATTCTCATGAACAGAAGGTGTCACATCTGCTTTTTCTGTCATCAGATTTCATGTCGGCTCTGTTAAGACTTGGCCGAAATCTGACGTTGGTGGCGTTGACTTTGGGCTTGTCAACAGAGCTCGCGATCGTTAGCGGGCTGTCGACTTTCGGCGCAAAGTTCATCGAGACGCAATTCGGCGTGGGTGCGGGACGGGCTGCATTTCTCACTGGTAAGTTGACACAGTGGGCACACGCTAACACATTAAAATCCCACTGGACACGGCAAATTAAAAAAAAATTAATTCAATTATTTTTGACGAAATCGGTATTTTTAGTCTACAAAATTACTTTTTAGTCTACAAAATTATTTTTAGTCTACAAAATTGCTGAATACCAAGGCAGCATAACCCTCTTTGGTACCTTTTAAGCTGAATAAGTAGACAACAAATACGGTTGGATGCTGTTAAACGATGTTGGCTGATATTGGCGCATGTTACCTCATTAACGTTTGGTACCTGGTTTGTACGGTCAGCACTCTTTCCTCCATTTAATGAGTACAAAGTGCTGTCGTTCTGTTATCGGGCAAAACACGGTTCAAGTTAACGGAAAACGAATACCGCATTTCCTGCACTCTCTGTACGGGCGGCCAAAGTTTCTAAAAAGTTCACCTTGGTTGGTGAATGGTTATTGAGCAGTCTTAGAATAGTTGTTGAATCATCGCAGCTGTTCGTTACTAGAGCAGATCCAGAACTGGGGGGGGCTAAAATTGGGGACGTGGGAATAAAAATGTATATAGGGGGCCTAACCTGTTATATTCCTTGTGAGGAGTGAGGCTACATTTGTGGCTTTTTACACGCTTTGGGAATAAAGGAATCATTAATTAAATAGACCAAACTGTGCTCCTCTCTCATTATCTTTATTTTTTTCAAGAAATTGCTTTCTCTGTTTTTTTTTAGGGAAGTGGTAGGGCCCTCGCTGCCCCCACCCAACCGTAAACATGTTTTTCCTGAGAATGCGCATTCTCCTCGTTCCTAACAAACTGGTCAATACTGAATGAGCTTCTTATTTGTTATCTTTAAAGGCCAAGACATCTTTGAACCAAAACCCGAAGGATAAAAATCCACCGGTGGTTCATCATTTATAGCATCGAGAAGCATTATTTTGCGTTTTGATAGGATGGGTGAGATTCTTAGTTAGCGAATTATTCCCACTCCTTCGTACTTACTGCCAGCCAGTTTTTGTGACCACTAAAGTAGGCAAAAGAACGACCGTGACTTAAAAAGAGGGCTCTATGTGGAGTCGAGAAGTGTGCACCAAGACTTTCGTCTACAAATTCCTTTGGCGTTTGCAGGTGTGGCCATTATGCCTGCGTCGTGCGCCGGCCACCTGTTAGCCGGAGCGTTGCTCCGCCGATTCAGGCTCACAGCTTTCCAGTGCTCGGTCTTTCTCTGTGTCACTGTGCTCGTCACCCTGTGCGTCTACCCTGCGCTGATCTTTCTCGGATGTGAAACTCCCACTGTGGTCAGGTAACAACCTGGGCTGACCATGGGCGTCAATCTTTTCCAAGTGGGGGATACTATATCAATTGTCCCCCCCACACTTTTTTACAAAACCTAAATGTAAATGTATACCTTGCAAAAGAATTTGTCAACACATACTGGCTAAAGTAGCCAGATACTGTCTCAGACCGGATTGACGCCCTTGGGGCTGACAATGGGAAACGGGTACCCGACCGTCAAGGCCGGAAATCAGTTCAAAATTATGGAACCTAGCCAATGAAGTAGTAGCATTTCATGCAAAGAAAGAATTTTAAGAGTTTTCAAAAACAAGCCAAGCTACATGGATAGTCAAATAGACCTCACGTGCGTGCATGGTTACAATGAAGGTTAATAGACTATTGACGAGCATTTTGGATAGAAGACAGCATTCGCACAGAAATGGCAGTTGGAATGCATTTCCCCGCACTTATCTTTAAAGTTTGGGGTTAGGTTTATTTAAAGCTAACCAGGTACCCACATTTTATTTCAGTAGGGTACCTTGGTTCCTGCACTTAACCTATAAATGCACACCCCCATACCAACATATTGCAGTTAGGGGACCGGTTCTGAGAAAGAAAGTTTGCATATACATCGAGAATATGGAATCACTCACACTCAAATAGAAGCTGGAAGTTAAGTCTTTCTTCCCGAGGATTTTGTTGGAAAATGTTTTCCAATATAAAGGCCAGAGAGGCAGTTCATGAGAAACACACATTATGCGTTGTGTAAATATATTGTTTAAAGGGTTCTAATCAGTGGCGCATCCATACTTCCGAAACCGTCGTGTTAAAAATCAAGACGTTTGGTGGAATCAGATGACTACACCATAGGGTGTTACTTTAACACCGTTGGTGTTACTGTGCAAAACTATAAGTGTTACAATACACTGGAGGGAGTTAAAATGACACCCAAATTTTTAACATCATTTCATTTTTCATCCTTAAAATAATTCTTATTACCCCTTCCCCAAAGAAAGGAGGTCATGTCGTTTCTAATATGATGTCACTTTCACCCCCCCCAAAAAAACCCCAAACACCTGGGGGTTGGCAACAAGTCGGGGAATCCTGCTCCCCGTGATTTTGTAATCAAAGGGAAAGGGTCCTTTCTCCAAGCTATACAGATAGCTTGAGGGGTGATAGTTTAAAACAGGAGTAAAGAGGAGCGACTCTGCCAAGTTGTTATTGCATAATGAACCAAGGAACTTACGGCTGCCCCCAGTACTTCAGTTCGTTTTGCAGATTGGCGCGCACTGGCAGGGAGCCTAAATGGCTTGGAGTTGTGTTTTGACAGGTGCAATATACAACGAACCGGTTTTGTCTAACAGTTGACCCTTTGAATGCCTGATTGTCATTGCGCGTCACATGTTCTCTTTAGTGACAGTTCCACGATGCTGTCGTGCTCCAGTCGACAGTGCGTCTGCGACGATACCGTCATTGATCCCGTGTGTGGCGTCGATGGCTTGACGTATCTTTCGCCCTGCCTTGCTGGCTGCAGCCGAATGGACCGAGAAAACAAGGTAACCTAACATTACGTGTCATTACAGAGCCAGAATTTCGATTGCAGCCAAGTTGTCCGGATTTCCTCGTTTATCTCGTCACTTGACAGTGTGACTCACTTTCACTGGCTCGTGCATGACTTCATTGCAATTATACACTAGAGTCCCTTAACTTGGCGCTCCAAAAATCTTTATTGAAAAACTTAAAACTCATTGGTTAAAAACTGTTACTACATGTATTACCTTCATGATAAATGGTGTTAAACCTTTGTGAACGATTTCGTTCAAAATCCGAAACTGTCGGCTTCCAGAAATTGGGTTCGAATTCAACCGAGTGTTTCCTTATGTGGCGCACTTGAAAAAAATCTCGGAAAATCACACATAAAGTTGATAAATACTTGTATAGCATCATGACTCAATACCCATCCACAAGTTGTTAGAAAATTCTTTTCCTTTTTGGAGCACATTTTAAAAGAATTCCTTTTGCACGTCGGGAAAAAAATCTGAAAATCGGGCGAAAATAAAATGTCACCTGTACTTTGTTTGTAGTAGGTAAGTAAATCGAGATTTATGAATCAGAGCATTAGGAGTTTGATGGGGTTTCACTGACTGTGAAATCTGAACTAAAAATGTTACTGCGTTAAGACACAAGAAGTGAAAAATGCAAGTGCGCCACATTTTAATTAGAGGCCGCGTCACGTTAAGGTAAATCAATAATATCAGAGCTGAATTAAAGTTCTCGTGGGACGTCTAACATTAAATTAATTACCCAGACCATGGGCAGAGGAGGGTTGGTGATATGTCATTTTCCTGCATAGGTCATTTTCCTGCATATAATATGCATTTGGGGAGCCCTCGATAAGCGCAAGGTCCGGGTCTGGTGCATGCATGGTGCCTGGTCTGTATATTAGCCCACTACATGAGGTGTTGTTTCCTTGCTAGAACCCCCTGAAGGTGGTATTATTAAATTTTCTTTTATATAAGCAATTTATTATTTCAATCATTTTGTCAAATCTCCCTTTTCCCCCAAATTCTTTTTCAGACCTTTTCAGACTGTGCTTGCATCCAAAGAGTCGGGGGTAATTTTGATATCGGGTCGACCAATATCTCGTCTGATGACGAGCCGGAGGGATGGGAGGCGAAGGTGTCGGCGTGCCCCGCGGTCTGCACCATGATGATCGCCTACATAGTCGCATCCTCGATGTCTTTGTTCTTCATGTTCATGGGACAGAACCCCTCAATGATCATCAATCTTAGGTTCGATCCTGCTGATTGTGTTCGATTTGGTCGGGTTGGGTCGGCTTGGGTTGGGTTTCGGCTTGGGTTGGGTCGGCTTGGGTTGGGTTTCGGTTAGGTAGTTTGTCACCGACTTTACCATTCCCGGCCGGTCATCAGACGCCAGTAGCGTAATAAAAAAGTCCATATCTCTGTTTTATATGTTCATGGGCCGGTGCTCCTCGACGATCATCAGTCTCAGGTTCGAATCCATTGATCAGACAATGTACAAAGGTTTTCCATATGACTGTTATCATCCTCTTAACTATGCAGAGAAGTCGCTTACTTGTCATAAAACGTAGCAGTTTAGCCAAGAGCTTTAAAAAGAGGGAGGCCAAAGCAAAACAAAAAAAATCCAAACACACACTGCTGAAGTACACCGAAATGGTCAGTTTTCTGTGCTGATACAATTTTTTACGGTTCTCATCTTAGTCTCACCCTCATTTTTATTCCTTCCTCCAAGAGGGTCTTATATTTCTGTTACAGTTATTCACATTATCAATCAGAGCTGTCCCTTCCCTTACACCACTGTATACTCTCATTTGGCCATTTCGACATATTGCGTTTCCTCTTGTTTTTTTTATGTTCTCATCCGTCCCTGTGCATGGAGTCGACGAACCCATTGCCCCAAACAAAAACCTACAGGCAATGACATTGGGTTTTTCTTGTCGCAATGCAGATGCGTGGAGAAGAAAGACAGATCTTTCGCCATTGGAATGCTGACTTGCGTGATTAAAGTTATTGGTAAGGCTAGAAATAAAGTTTCATTATTGCATGGGTCGCTTTTAGTTTCCAACGCATTAGTTGTTCGGAGTTGATTTTAAAGTCTCATAACAGTTGATAGTTGACGGTCTTGTGATTGTGGTTTGCTTTATTTTTTCGGGGTTTTTGGGTTTTTTTGTGATTTTAATTTGATATGTAGCAAGAAATCCGAGTGGGCAAAGACTGATCGAAATGAACAGAAAAAAGGCAGACTATTAAGAAAAACTAGTTCCTTCCTCGTTCGAACCTGGATCGGTGACGGTCGTGATTACCACGGTATAATACGTAATCAGTTGGTTGTTAGTCTTTCAGGGATAAAACAACAGAAATGGTTGACGATCGTCCCCGGAAATGGATTCCGTACGTGTTCACTTTTTAAGCAAACGTTGTAACCACTACACTACGAAATTTATTAACAGCTGTTTAGCGCATAATGAAACGGAATTACTTTTAACAAAAGTGATTCCCCTGGGGTCGAGCCGGGGACCTTCCGCGTGTATAACCACTACACTACGAAATCAGTTGAAGGTTGGTCTTTTGTGGATGTATTAGCCCATTATATCCGTTGTGCAGAAATAGTTAATCTATATTGCAAAATCCTAGAAACACCTAAACAAACAACTAAACTCAATAAAAGATAAGCTCATTCCACGCGGCCTGAAAAGGCGATCTTTCGCGCGTTACCAGCGATGAGCCACCACCCGAAGAATCAGCTGGTCATTTCATTTCATTTAGGTTGAATCTTTGAAATGAATTGTACAGATAACGTTCAAAAGATAATCTAAACGTACTGAAATTTAAAAAAAAGAAAGTGATTCCGCCCGGGTTCGAACCGGGGACCTTTCGCGTGTGAGGCGAACGTGATAACCGCTACACTACGGAATCGGTTGTCGGTTCAGCTTTTCTGGTTATCGTTGTAAAAATTGGAACGTACGCAACAAAAATTGTTGAACGATGGTAAAAATGCGTGATTCTGAGCATGTTTGAACCGGGCACCTTTCGCGTGTAAAGCGAACGTAATAAGCACAACACGGAATCGTTTTGTTGGCTAGTCTTTTGTGAATATCAATGCAGTCATTCGTATCATGTGCAATACAGAAATGGTTTAGCCATTTCAACAAAGAAATTAAATAAATAAAAGTTAATACGTGGACCTTTTGTAAGGTGAATGTGATAACTCACAGCATCTCGGAGACGTTAGCCATATATCCACTGAGTATTTTTAATGACGAGATACGGTAGAAAAAATAACTAAATTGCAGTTAAAATATAATTAAGGTGAATTCTAACGTGAACCATGGGATAAAAAATGTCGAAGAGACGATGTTTAAAAAAAAAAACCCAATTATAATCTCATAAAAAGTTGAAAGACTATTTTTAAGAAGAGTGACTTGATGAAGGGAATCCTGTGAGTTAGAGGCAAGCATAATGACCGCTGTACAAAAGGGAATCGGTTTCAGTGTGGAATTCAGTATCAAAGGTATCATTACTGCCGTAAACAAATAGAAAAAGCGGTTGAAGCCATTAAAAAACCCTCTGTGTAGGCTTAGTTTCCTTTTGCTGCGTCACAAGCGTAATTTTGCCTACTGTGGTTGGCAAAACTGTGGCTGGTGTGAGAACAAAACAAAAAAGTGATTTAAAAATCTTGCGCAAATATTGAAAAAAAACCCACTGAATAATAAATATTTATCATACTTATAATAAATGAAAATTCCTCGCATTTAACAGTCACGAATCTGACAGGCTCTGACCCTGTAACATAGCATAGCATAGCATAGCATATCGTGGCATGCCATGGCATGGCATAGCATAATGTTTAATTTAATATTTCAAGACTCCGGGTTTCGCAGTGCTGGCTTTCGTCTTCCCCGTGCAGGATTTTTCCCAGCACCGGTCTTCTTCGGGGTTGTCATTAAATCTGCTTGTCTCCTTTACTCGTCCGGTGAGGGCGCCGTGGAGTACAAAGACACTGGAAGCTCCGTGTGCTGGCACTACGACTTGCCCGTGTATAGGCGGCGCTTCGTCGGCTTGATGATCGGACTGAAGTCCTGCTCTCTAATTTTCTTTCTGATCGTCATGATTTCATTGTGGAGGAAGAGAAAAGAAGGGGTCAGTAGTGGCGTGTCAGTCCCTCTCTCCGTATAACCCCATCCCTTATTTCGAAAAAGGCATTTCGGGATCGAAAGTCCAAACTCCAATCAAATGTTGGTCTTTTCTTCTGTTCTGCTACGACATACCTCCCAACACGGGCGTAGATCGCGGGAGATGGGGGAAGGGGGTGTACAATCCCCATCCTTCGCCCGGGGGATATTAAATCACTTCCCAAACACTTTTTTGTGGTGAGAAACATGTGAAGGCGGATTGTGAAGACTTTATTGGACTATCCGACCAAAATGTATGGGTACTATTTAATAGCACTCCAAAATGGAGAACAAATCATATTACCATTTTGAGGCAAGGTTCTGCAGGAGTATGACACATATTACACGTCTACATCTGTGTCACGAACATTGCCCCCAAAATCATAATGGTGTCAGCACCCCCCCACACACACCCTTTTTAAACGGCCATGTGAGTCATGCTCTCACACGCCCCCAGTTCTCAGCTCAAACTTATACCACTGCTCCCCAATAACCATCATTTAATTAATCTCCACCCCACTTCGACGTTGCCATACAAATTTTGCCTGTTTAAAAGAATCTTTGTGTCAAAAGTAATGCTTTATAGATCATGATGAAAATAAGCAGTTAAGCAACCGTGAGCTATTCCAGTAATCAATCTTTCACGGAACCTACGAATGACGTTGATTTCATATAACATAAAAACCATCTGCCGTCTAATAATTCTGCCAGCAATACTTTGGCATGTTGGATTTTTGTGCGCGTCTAATTCCGCTTGGCTCTGCCAAGTTAGGACAACGTTACACGCTCCCCAACTCGTTTGGGCACGTAATCAGTTTATATTTGGTCCGAAATACATGCACGGGACCGTGTTAGGGCCTATGTTATAGCGTATCTGTTGTCGCCATTTTCTTTCATCTCAACGTAGGAGCAATGCAGCGAAGAAACCAACGAAGAAACCGACGAGCGTCGGCATTCTGCTTCGTCTGAAATGTCCTCCATCTAACAGAGCAGAGCAGAGAAAAATGGAAGGGCTTGAGAGATTTTTCCCGCATCAGCTATCAGATAATTTCAGTGCGCCAAGAGCATGGCCTAACCAGATCTGGTGTGGGTGTGTGTTTTGGGGATGAATATTTCCCCCAGAAATGCATGTCCGGCTTTTTTCATCCCGTGGAAGAATGCTCACCCTTGCCCAGCTTTCCCGCTTAATACGCCAGTTGCCTATAGTAGAATTTTAGATCCAAAGCTTTATTCACAGTTAGCTAAAGCTATTTGTTTTTGTTTGGATACACTGTTTTCTTGCACCTTTGTTGATATTTCCCTTTTAAAATCCACGATATCCATGGCCTTATGTACAGCCATTGGTTCCATCTTGTATCCAATGTTTCCTCTTTTCAACTTGACGCTTGAACCTCTGTTTCTCCATATCATTTTAGACATACAACATTGTCACTTTGTTTATTTTAAGCCCAAGGGAATACTCTGTCTTTCAGCATCTTGTTAACAGCACCCCGAAGTTATACAATATCAATAAAATGCTACTTCGTAGAAGCACGGTTGTGCACCATTTTTCTATACAAGTGAAACTTACTTAGGTCTTAGATAAGTCTTGAAGGTTTGCATGGTGAAGAGGTATAACAGAAAGTAGGTTTGCTGCAGCACCACGGACGTATCTCTTTTGTGAATATTTGTGGTTCTGAAAAGAACCTGATGA